ATCTACTCCGTGGCAGCATCACAATCCTGCCATCTGTATCCCAAACTTATGCTTCAGAAGTTTAGTCGATAAAGAGATCACCTCCAATACCACTCAAATATATAGTCAATTATGTCAGTGACTGAACAGACTGCAGCTGCAGCAATAAAACATGACTAACATAATCATTACGTCCTTCCCCTCCACTCTCATCTTCTGCATTCTCTCCCTCATCCCATTTTTCTCTAACAGTACTGATGTTTGCAATTGATGCAGATTCTAAAAAGGTTCACATGCATTACTTTGCAGGACTGGTTGGTGAAATTTCTGGTTCTCATATGAAGATTGCTGTCTTCTGGGTTGCTGTGCTGTGTAGCCTCATAGAGGTTTACTGATGTTTCAGAAGTGCTTGTTGTCTCCATCACCCAGTGATGGAGGCAGAGGAGAACAGATATGAAAACAATGCACTACACACGGAATTACATGTAGGATTAAATACATTGTAAAGTGAAAGTAAAGCTATCCTGCTACCCATGGTAGAGGCTTTCATGAGGAGAGGAGGCATAGCTCCTACTCATTCTTGATGTTGAGACTAGAAGGAGGTTAGTGGTCAGCATCATGCTCTGGCCAGTCCCAAGGAAAGGATTCCTGGTACCCACTGGATAGAAGGCTAGGTGTCTCCCAGATTCAATCTCGATGCAGAGGCTAGAAGAAAAATACTTTGCCCCTTCCAAGCACCCCAGTCGGTTCATTTTATGCATCGTACAATTTATAAACATTTACAGCATTATGCAAGGCATTATTTAAACATTTTGGATACAGGTATCAAATGACTGAATAAGTAAATATGTGTAATTTCACTAAACAGCTATACTTAAATTACATACAGTTTATCATAAATATTGTTGATACGCCCTATGAAAAGTCATTTTACTTATGTCCATTATAATCATTTGGGTTGTGATTGTGTGTGAACTTGTAGGTGGGTACAAAAATTCCATCACTACAGCCAAGCATCCCCTCCCCACCAACACACACACAGTGTGACAACCCAGAAGACCACCCTGGAAATCCTTCCTGACATGACAGCCTCAAATCTTTTATGATTTTATTCACACTATTTTATATAGTAACCCCAGATACTGCAAACCACACATTTGGGAAATGGGCAGACTTTCCCCCTGTACCTAGTGCATTCTGAGCAGTAAGAAAGGTAAGTTAACTTACATCTCCAAATTACCTCTTCAGAAGCTGTCTCCAGTTAATGTGAGAAAGTAGGTAAGACAAATATTAGTACTACTCCAGACACAATGACAAGCATTATTCTAACACCCCTATTCTTCTGGACATCAGGTGTCCAATTCAAAGTCAAGAATCTTTATGAACTCAGCTCCACAGCCCTTATATCTGAACCACACCAGATATAATTCTTGCTGTTAATTGTAGGAAATTATCAAATGCCAAACAAATTTACATTCTTTCACCTCATGACATGTATAAACATTCAGAGATGTCCTGGGAAGGAGTACACTTTTCGTCTCTTGAACGGACCATGACTTTTACCTCGCCCTCTTCCAGGGCCTTTGTAACCTACGTCAAGTTCTTCTATATGATGATATGTTTTGTGAAGTCCATCAAACAAGTTTTGTGCTTCACTACTGTTGTTCACCATCTCCACCAATTCATCCTGTACAAAACAAAGTCATTAAATACAGCCACACAGATATAAATTCTTAACAGAATCAAAATCATTTTTCTGTAACGAAACTTTATTGCAGTTAAACATTCACAAGTTTTTGCACAGAAATTCCTGTATATCCCTATATTTGCATTTGTGTTAGACCAGAACATGAAAAAGACTAAAAATATTGCAGTAGAATATTCTGGCATCCTAAACCACAAACATGAATTACTTATTAGCACTACAACAGAAATGTATACAAAATGTCCCAGAAGGAAGTGATAAAAATGTGTGCAGAGAATATATGATACAGGAACACCAAAACATGCCTCCCATTATACAGTAGAGGGAAACACAGAGATTAGCCAACCAAAGATGGATGGTACAGAAAGATTTCTTGTACTCTCAAGTGCATATGACGATTTACAACATAATTTAAATATCAGCAACATTCATTCACAAGTACTGCAATGCAACAAGATTTATTTTCTCTGATGCTCTGCATGTAGCCACACATGTTTATAAGTATATTCTTAAGTATGGACTGCTGTATGTGTGCAGCTCAAAATTTTAGTCTGATTACTACTGCTGCTGTAAGCATTTTGAGTGCTTAAGTTGCATTCCATAAAATCTCTGACCCTGTTCAATAGGGTTTTTGGAAATAGTTACATAAAATTATTTGTGTGCATTGGTGTAAGTTTCATTTCTGCATGCCTTTCAGTTTTCATTAAGTATCTGAAACTGCTTAGATCATTTGTATTGTCTGCATATCAAAGACTGCTGTAAATTACATTCCTTACCTTGGAAAGAGAAAGCAGGTGGTCGAGGGACTGGCCTTTGAGCAGCAATGAGCGCTGATTCTTTGTCGTCACTCCTGGTAACTTGGTCATAAAATCGTGTATAGCGCTGTTCCACTTCTCCAGCATGTCTGAGTCCTGTTGTCCTAAACTCATTTCCATTCCCACAGCCACTGCTTTTTCTGCGTCTGGTTCTTCCCGTCCATGCTGCAAGTGTTTGATTCCAATCTTCACAATAATCTAATGTTTATTTATTTGTGATTTATTTAAAGACAATGGCAACTGCTCACACTATATAGTGTCAAAATAATCTTGTGTATATGCGTACAGTGAATCGTGCTAGTAAATAATTCAAAATAAGCTCTGGACAATTAATTCGGGATGATTTATTTATTATTATTTGTACATAACACATACCGGCTCAAAGGAAATATAATAAATGGAGTTAAAAGGTAGGTGGGGAAAAAAACCCTTCATATAATGAAAACAGCTATACATTTTATGCAACAATAAAATATTCTCATGCAACAGCATAAGTCTGTGTTCTACATATTTTTCTCCATTCTCAAATTTGTACTGCAGGATTGGAGCACACCCTTGAGAACACATCAATAAACTTTTGGGCTTCATAAAATACAAGGAATTTTTTGACTGAGTGTACTGTAAACTTCTCAACAAGGACTCTGTTCCATAATGTAGGTCCCATTGATGAACTTTTTCATCACAAGAAAACCTGTACATTGGATGTTACACATTTTTAATTTCTTCCACAAAAAAGTAAACCCAAACTTAAACTGAAAGTATCTCCCCTCATTATCTTCTCATTTTAGTACCACATTTATAACTTGTTTTATTATCAAGTTTAAAAAAAATGGTATTGGTACACCATACTGTTGCAAACCACCTGAAAGAGCGCTTTACAAATAATATACAGTTATTTCACGTTGTTCACAATTATAAGATGGCCCTTAATTTTCCAGATTCTTAAATACAAAAAAATCTAGATATGGTACTTATTATAAACATGGCAGTCTTCTGGGTTGTTGTATGCACAGTCTTTCAGCAGCATACCAGTGTATCATAGGAACATACTGTCTCAGTCTTAGGGCTGAAGTAAGGACGGTTAGGAATGGGATGGTTTATATACAGCCCTGAAGAGAATCAGGCCAAGACAACAGGCTATTCACTATAAGGCACAACAACCCACAAGACCACCATCTTTATTCACATCCCTATCAAAACCTCAAATCTTACTCACATAGTATGTTTCATAACCTTGCATTACCTTGAGTTCTTCAAACAGCTGAGCTGTTGCATAGGGACTTGGTGACCAGACAAGCTTCAATTTTGGGAAGTTCAGTGTCAAGAGTTGGAGCTTTGCTGCAACATCATTGGATGTTACATTATTGCTCACATAGTAAGTTCCCTGCAAAAAACAGCGTACAGAAACATAATATTTTATAACATTAAGGCTCCCTTCTTACCACAGTCCTTAAGATACATACCACAGAATTGCATTACAGATGTAACTGCACAGAGCCCCTTTCAAAATGCAAGACAGTAGCTAAATTTTGAAATTCAAGATAAATTAAAAAAGTAACAAGAAAGTAAAAATGTCCTACTATATTCCATGTAGGTGCTGGGGGGCTCTAGATAAGGATGAGTAGTTCATAAAATGTACCAGCCACACTTTACCCCTGGGAAAGGACCCTGATACACATTCGACAGTTGTCTCTGTATTACTGAACAGTGTAGTCCTTGAAAGGCTACCATATTGACTAACATAATGATAAATGTGTATTTTATAGCATAATATCTAGTAGATATAACTGTTTTGTTAAATCCACCAACCACTTGTATCACAGTTCTTAGAGTAAGACTAAGTAACTGAAGACGTTGTACCTGTAATGCAAAAGGCTTGTTCTGGTCAAATTCAATAAGAAGCATTGGTTTACTGTAGTGCCTTGTCATTGCAAGGGCTTGATTGTACAGTCGGCCAGAGTTTAGAGAGCCAATCAGATCACTCACACTTTTCCTCTCCACACACAGTTCAGGTGTTAAAATGTAGTCACCAACCTACAACAATTATATATTATAAATTGAATGGTAACATAAAACATATAAATTCACATCCTGTCTTTTTATTTACAGATTCTGAATGGGATATAACTGTGCAAGGAATCCAACCTTATTCTGAGGTTTGGGTACACCTGTGCCAACTTTATATGGTAACATTTCTGTAGCGTTAAAATTGTTTATCTGACAGTGTTAAATTAATACAATGAACTATTTCCTGTATTTAAGATGATAACATGTACAATAACAGTCTTTATTTCTTGCATGTATATGAGTTTTATAAACATGTTTCTGAATTCCTTCATGTCAATGTGTAAGAGTTTTACTGCCACTAACCTGCAAAGTCACAGGTTCAATTTCTATGCCCCTTTTATGAATCAGTGCTGGTAATTCACTTCTGAACTCTCGCATGTCTACAATAACTGTCGAAGGCTTTCTGGCATTCTGGTCAGTGGTGCCACCTTTACGAGAGCTTGTCGGTGCCACAGTGAGATTAGGTCTGGACATGTCTCGGGACAATTCCAAGCATTCACCAGACTTTCCATCCTGATCTTCAGGCATCACCATCGACTATTGGCAGTTACACAGATATCAAAGATAATTCATGCTAAAATTAGATGTAACACTCCTTAACCAACGTGAGTTCCTTTCAGAAAAAAAGGAACAAAATACCCTGGCATCAGTAACTGACCAAAGTTGGCTGCCTGTAGCTTTGTTCTTTCATTTATGTGCCTAACATGCTAGGAAAGCTACTGACAACATAATATATATACATCTTCTCAAAGGAACTTGTTGTTGTGAATAATTATAACTGAAACAATCTTCGAATGCCAAAAAATTTAACCCTTCATAGGGTCTACTTATAAATAAATGTACTTTTTGTAATTTCTCGTCTCATAATATCAGTGAGAATAGCGGAGATGACAGCGGCTACATGTATTTTCATTTATAATTTATGTAAACAGCCATAAGTAATCAATGAACTGCATTAACCAACAAGATTTTCAATATGTAATTACAAGAAAGATATCAGTTCCATGATTTATTTCTAGTACTTATTTAATAAAGCTTATTTTAAAACAAAAACAAATAAATTCTCAAAACTGATACTGTATTGTCAGCAGTAAAACCTCTACCAATAAACTTCGCTGCAAGAAAGAAAAATTTGTGTTGAACACTGTAATACATTTATACATGCTATAATTCAGTAATTCCCACACAATAAACTTAAGAAATGAAGGTTCCATGAAGCTCAATAAATGGAGGTTCTAATACATGTAAACAAGTGCAAATATGAAAGGACACAGTGAAGAGCCATACAAGAAAACAGTACGGTCTGTCAATATCTTGTAATGCTTCACAACGAAGATACTAAATACAAAAGCCACAAAAGAAGAAACTATTATTCCTTCTCAACCCTCTGGAAATTAAGCCCACAAATTTGTTCCACTTTCTTGAAAACAAACCCTGCCCATTATTATTATCTGGTTACAATTGCAAAATGCAAACACAGCAACATAGAACACAGAAGTGCACCATCAATTCCTACCGCTTTCTCCTTGATGAGGAAATCAAATGCCTCTTTCTCACGCCGTAAAGACGTAAGAAACGCCTGTTCCTCCACTGAACCACCGAACATCATGAAATAGACACGAAGCTGAATTTCTGGGTGACTGCTTTTATACACCTGTTATAAAATGTGAAACGAAAACATTATTGAAACAGCTGTGGAACATAAACAGACTCACACCCCAAAACATTTCAAACGAAGGTTTCTGATTTTCACATTTTCTTCCAAAGTTTGGCTTTTCAAACAAAAGACTTCATTTCTAATAGTAATTATAACATTAAAACATGCATTTTACAGAAATATCTGAAATACTGATACTAGGGGTTAAAATAAGTTTATATTTCTACTCATTAGCTGCATTATCAAAATATGTTACTTTCATAAACAAATTACACATGAATATTTCTAACTTATGCTCTTGAATTTTATAATTTTGACCAGACACATAAAACTTGTGTATCTTGGATAAATATGCAGCACGGCACACATTCCTACCGTTTATACTTTGGGACTGCAAATGCTCAATGCTCAATAAAATGAACTAAGAAATTTCTTGTAATTTTGCAAACCATCCTCTCTGTTGCCAACAAAATTAAAGGGTAAAATATGGAAAGCAGATATATATATTATATCTGGTCTCTAGATATTAAAGACAAACAAAAACTGGAATTCATTTAAAACTACACAATATAGTGAATACATGGACTTAAAGTGAATGAATAAGGAATAGGGAAAAGTACACCATGTGAATAATTATAAATTATATTAGCATATCATCATTGTGATAGGATCGCAGTGAACAGACACATTATTCTGATGGGAAAATCTTGAAGATACGGGTCCTTTAAAACACAAATAAATGGGATGTGATTATGATAATGAGATGGTGTGGCAATGACAACAACAGTAACTGCCTTAGTAGTAAAAATAAATAAAAAATAAGTAATAATTTGTGGTGTTGTAGATTATAGTGATCTGGTTCGGACAGGCTTCTCTATGCAGTAACGCAGATTCAAGTTCCATAATATTATAAAATAAATGAGTGAAATAATTAGAAAACTTACAATAACATTAATACCTGTTCTCTAATTTAATGTTATCTTAAAGCCTGATAAACTTGACATAACATTCTCACCTCAAGGCGTCTCACAGCAGCCATGTCTGCATCATACATAATGACAAATCTGGGCTTAATAGTTTGCAAAGTCCTGGGTAATGCAAGAGGATCACCATATTTTTTGAAAGTCTGCAGGATCACAACTGGAGGCTTAAATGTATCAGCTGGCTCTTCTTTATCACCACCCTCATTTTCAACCTGAATGTAACAGACATGAAATAATGGAATTCTCAAATACAGTGTTAAGTGCTGTTTTTATATCACATTCCATCATGCGTGAATAAGAAGCAAAAGTGAATACACAATGATAACTGAATATCAGAATCTGGACTTGCTGTTTAAATTATTGTAGAACAAATACCTGATTATACTCTTCATATTGGGCTTCTGGTTTGTCTTCTTCCTCACAGTCTGGTTTTGGTCTCTGAGAAAGAGCATAACTGTCTTTGCTATCTTCATCATTCTCTGGTTCATTTTTCAATTCATCTTCCGGTGTCACAATTTCATCAGATTTACTGAGCGATTTTGATGACTGAGGAGCACTTTGTTGCAGAGAGCAGCGAAAAGCTTTCTCGTAGAGGCGAAGCAACATGTCATGAGCTCCAACTGTGAGATACTATAATAGACAATAAAAAAAAACACTGATTGTGGTATTCTGGTTTGTGATGTCATGCACTTTTATAGGTTTTTACCAAACATTTCAGAGAGATAATGATAACCACCTACATGACCACATAGTGTCAGAATTCAGAAAACAACATTCAATATATTCACCACTATGAGAAACTCAAATCTCAGACAGTTAACCTCTACAGGTCTATGCAAAATGCAACAGGACTTCAATCCTGAAGATGTATGCAACTGGAAACCACCTACAAGACTGCTCAATATCATAACCAAAAGACCACAATCAACATTTTTACCAGTGTAAGAACCCTAACAGACAACAAACAAACAAACACAGCTGCTGACCTTGCAGCAAGGGTCCATTCATTATTCAATAGTAGCTAACAGACTGGGAAGTCAATACCATGTTCACAATAGCCTGCCACTGGTCTTACTTGCCCCCAAAAAAATCCAATTCAGACACATCCACATAGTACTTAAGATCTACTTCAATAAATTCTTCCATTCATGTGAGGTCTTCCAAATGCTTTTATAACCAAAATCATATATACACACTTCTCATCTCCCATGAATGCTACATGCCCCAACTATTTCTTCTCAGTGATTTCATCACCCCAATATTTTGTGAGAGTTCAAATTATTAAATTCCTCATTATGTAGTTCTCTCCAGCCTCGTGTCACTTCTCCTCCACATAACATTTCCATTTTCCCTCACAGTGATTAGACAACTTTAAAATCCATATTAAAAATACATAAAGTTATAGCCTTCCACCCCTTAATCATTACATTTTCAAACAGGAGATGGAAATATAAAATATTTTGAAATAATGATTAAGTATTCCTCTGAATCTAATCAATTTAAGCAATTAGTTTCTTGTTTAATATTATTTTTATTTATTGCTGGCATTCCGAAATATCTGAAATTACTAATTTTTTAATATTTATTACTTATGTTTATATCAAGATTTTGTCCCACAAATTGGTGATGAGACAAGAACACACATTTAATTTTCTTTGTATTTACTTCTCGATGAATCTCCTTATTAGCATCTATCGGTATGTCTCTATGTGAGTTATACTAATTCTCTTCTAATTGGAAATTAGTTTTCTTTTAAGTTTATAAACAGCCAAGAATTCAGAGACAAAGATACAGTTTGTAACATAAAAATCACACCGGGGTTTGGATACATTAATGTACCTGCATGAGCTGGTTGCAGGTCCTGGAGTCTTCAACAAGAACAAGCACCTTATTGTTATATGACGGATCCTTTCCTGCTGCTTGCTTTGACAGCCCATCTACTTCTTTCAAGATCTCAGACAGCACCTCCCATTTGGGGTTAACTTCTGGCTGCACCTCTGTATAACATTTTTATTTAAACATAATAGCACAGAAATAAAGCATGATCTCTATCCTAGTTAAGTGTTCAAACCAATTATCCAATTTACTGGTAAAATTATTCAGAAAGAGAATGAAATAACCACATTTATACATTGTTACATGACTAAAAGTATTATTTATTTTTAAGATTAATTAACAATTTCAAATTATGTTGTTTGTCTCTGGTAATTTTTCCATGACTTAAAAAATCACTTTATCAACCATGCACTTAACCACTACAATGAATCCGATTAGCCTTAAAAGTACATGATGAAAGTTATGTTCAGATACTGGGATAAAAACGGTAAGGTGTAAATGTATGATCAGATGATACTTAACTGCACGATGGAGTACAATACATTCACATACCTGATGAACTGTCCTCTTCCTTCTTTCTCTGTGTCCCAAGAACTCTCTGCTTGGAGACAACAAATAAAGTCTCTGCAGCGTCCAGCAGTAACCAACCTGAGCTCTTCATTGCATACTCAGTACTTCGCAATGAATTCACTAATGTATAGAATGTCACACAATCATATTTAGTGAGGTATCTGCAAAAAATATGAAACCCAAGTCAGTTTAGATTCTTGATTTGTTATGAAACAAAACAGTTATATTCTTTAAATACTTTCATGGTGTAATTCTTTAATGCCAAACTTATAGAAGATTTCTGGGATAATTTCTTTAGAACATAACAAACTAACTGATATTTTACAGGTCGTATGTTTCTCATCAAAACTCCACACATAGGAAGGTGAAAAAATTCTGGGATTTGATCTACACACAGCCCTCTTAAAGTACAACCCATCAGCTACAACACACTTTTTCCACCACTGGTACAATTACTGGAAGCAGTTCTGAAATTTCTCTAGCTGGACACCATGCAGAGCATCTTAATTGCAGCAATAATCTCTTGTCTGCTGTTGAAGCAACAGCCACATAAACAGTTGCTTCATTTAAGGGAAAAGAAAGAAACTGCATGGTGGTGAATCAGGCAAGTAAGGTAGATGAACCATAACAGTACTGTGTATAGCAAGCTCTTCTTGCATGACAGACAAGCGGTGTGCAGGCTCACTGTCAACAACTTCCAAACTTTCATTACTCACTGTTTACATTGCGTTTGCTGAAATACATCTTGCAGCCAGCACAATATCTGAATGTATATTGCCTTCTTCACAGTGGCACCATGAGGAATGAATATGTAGCGCACAACACCACAATAGTTAAAAAAATCCTAACATCACTGACAGTACTGGCAATACTTTGTTTTGTTCCAAAGTCATTCCTCAGAACATACAATTATGTTAATGCAACAACAAGTATAGGTTAGGTTAGGTTAACAACAACAATAGCAGCAGCAGCAACAAGAACAATAATCATAAACTGTATTATACTATGTGAGCACTGTTTTATAAATAAATCTGTTAGATGGTAAGAATGTAGGCACACACATTTGAATGTTATCATTTTTCAGTGTGTAAATTCCAAATTAACAACCATTTTCTGTAATTACATAAAGCTGAGGAACTACTGATTCTTTGTGCATATTAGGTTATTTTTAAATATAATCCTTCAAAACTATGCAGGAATATACTAAACAACAGCAATAATCAAAGTAAATTCTGACAACCACTTAGAACATGATGATGACCATGTACACTTGTCAAAAGATTACAATGTTTTGGGCAAACATACTGTCTCCATCTTCAGAGGAATTTAAATTCTTCTCAGTACATTTCTCCAAAACATTGGCATCTACCAATGAGTCTACGCAATGCCAAACCCAGAACAAGATCATCGCTGCCACGAAAACATGAAATCTCACTTAGATAATCAGTCTACATGAGAACCAAAATGTATTTCTGAAGTTCACTAAGTAACTAAGAAAAGGCAGATGAAGTAATTACGAGAGTACAAGACGCAGAGTTTTGAGGTCTGCAACCAGCTGCTTAGTCTTCATACTCAGCTGATGCCAGATTGGGTCCAGTTGCATCTGTAAGATTTTGTGGAATGACTTAGAGACAGCATTTTCTACTGTTAACTCATCTGTATCCAGCTGTAACAACAAAATTAACATAGAATTAGTCATATCAAAGGCAGCTGCCTCACTTAATAGCAAAATCATATATTATATCATAAATATCACATGCTGGCCCTATTTTATATTTTAAGGCTGTAGTAAGTACATGCATATGGTGAGGCTTGCAGAAGTATACAGTAATAATTACACTACTTAGTCATCCATTACTGTGCATAATTTCCATCAGTACAGGTTATAAATTAAAATTTCCATGCGTAATTCTTAACATGTAAGTAGTATTTCACATATAGTCTGTACCTATTTTTATGATCTATCCCCAAAATGTTTTTGTTTCACAGCATACGAACTACCGTGACAAACGATGCTTTTTCAAAGAGACAAATTATCAGCACCCTACATTGTGGTGGTAGTGATACTCCTACTTAACAATTTTATATGGCTCCAATATTGATATCATTAATGGTAGGAAATTAGAACTACAAAGATGGAGTATCCTCTAGTAGCATAATGGCATGAGTCATGGTGTTCGTATACTACGTTTTATGAAAATCTGTTAATTGGTTCAACATTTACTGGGGGGGGGGGGGGGGGGGAGAGAGAGATATGTACACAGGGATCTGAGATATTACCATAGCATAAGTCCATCTGCACTTATAAAACAAGAAACTAAGCTAATTGCAAACAAAGCAGAGTAGCTTCAAGTAACACGTAAATTTGCTTAATATGACAGTTTTATGTGACACCAAAATTCAATAACACTGATATCACTCACTGTTTGGTTGATATGTTTCAGTTCCTTCACAGTGAAGTTCATCAGATCCAGCATTGCTGTCTGGATCTCTAACATAGCTGGTGTCAATGGGAGATGTAGCTCTATAACTTGTGGCTATAAGAAAAGTACAAATCAGTTTCATACGCATGTAACTCTTAACACATAAGTGCCAAAAAGCAGAATGGTTATTTAACCCTTTGAAGTTTAAGCTCGTCTAACTAACGTAAGTAAAAAGAAGATGGCTGTCTTCTGGGGTGTTGCACCATGTGATCTGGTAGAAATTTACCAACGTTTCAGATATCCTTGCTCCCTCAATCATCAGGGCAATGATGGAGGCAGCAAGGACCTCTAAAACATCAGTAAACTTCTACCAGACCACACAGCACAACCACCCAGGAGACAGCCATCTTCTAACTCACCACCAAGAAAACCCCAAATCCTACAAACATTTAACTAAGTAACATTTAATATTCAGTCTGCACTGCAAAGAAAACAACTCATAACCTTTATAAAAATCAGTCAATTAATGCTGTTTAAAGAAATAATCCATATTCACTCTGAAAATCACATGAAAGCGACAAATACATTTGTGGGCAAAACACAAAATTACTGATTGTCAAAGGAGGTGGTACACAGAGTTCCCACTAGGCTTTAATAGGTTAAGCAAGGACATAAGTCACCTTGCACTTATCCAAGCTGGCACTGACTGTGGCATGGAAGCGTGGCCAAAGGTACAAGTTGCGAACAAACAGAGTCTTCATAATGTGCTCCACCTGGGAGAAACCAGCTGTGAATGCTTGAGGTGAGGTTGAAAATGCCTTCACAAACCCAGTCTGCAAAGGAAAAGGAAAATGCTCTGTGCACTTTTTATCTAAGTCCCACTAGCATGACCATTAAAATAATTAGATAATTTTAGATTTTAAATTGTTTAGACTGTCTGATTTTGTTTAACGTTTCACAAGAAACTGGAACAAGACTATCTATAGCATGTACAAATTTGTAGATTCATCGTGACATTGTTGAAGTAATACAACTTCCATATTCATGGTAGAAGTGAACAGAGTCAAGAAAATTACATTTTGAGATGTTTTAGTGCTACATCTCTTGTAAAAAAAAAAAGCAATACTGTAATTTGTGGAGTATATGTGCACATACTGTCAGAGGAACTGAATCACCCCAATTGGAGAAAAATACCTCTCACTAATTCTCAAAGTTATTTTGGATATTTCCATCAGGCAACTTTTTGTATACTTCATGTAAGTATCTCACTGATTTTTAGCAATTACTTTGTCCATTATGACAGGTTGATTACAATATACCTAATTTATTTGTTTTCAAGAACAGGCTGTTTTCCTTCCAATTTTTGGAAAAGAAAGTGGTATAATTTGAATACAGATGCATTTCACAATTTTTATTTTTGTATGCACTTCATAATTACTTCCATAAGATGCAGTATTCCTTGAACAATTTATATTTATACATGTGGTCAACAAATTTCCTGTTTTGTTGAAACACAAAAGTATATCACCATGTTCACAGAAAACTATTATAGACTGAGTAATTTTAATACAGTTCACATCTTCACAAGTCTATTAAACAGAAATCCTCCATACCTTATTCTTTTGACGATAAAGACGAATAGCAAATGCTTCTTGGCATGATTCCAGTATTGTGTGCGCACGGGATACAAGAAAACCAGTAACATGTGAGATAGGAACTCTGTCCTTCAGGAGGTCCACCACCAGAATGCGGGATGACACAAACAACACACCACCTTTCAAGTACACATGCTCTCTGCAACAGATTCATCAATATACCATAAAAACTCAACCTTGAAACTTTAAAACAACAGCAATTATATAATTTTCTTTGTGTGTATACATTATATGACTGTGAATTTTGTTTGTATCGATAACTTATCAGTCCTTCAGACATGATGCTACATTTTACTTTTATCAGCTATACATTGAAGACTATAAATAAAATTAACTAAAATTTTTCACATAAGCAATTATGGACTATAGCTTCAGGGGTTGAAAAGTTTTTGCATTTTAATTTTATTATGCTTTACTCTGTGTTCTCTTTGTAACAAGTTCAAAGCAACAAAATTAAGAAAAACTGTTCTACCTGTCAGATGCACAATATTCCGTTGTGATTATTTTTGGCAATGGCTTCACCCCCCCTGCTTCTAGTTGTGCCACATAGAACTCCTCCTCCTTACTTGTGGTTCCCACAACTATAACCAGGTTACCTGGGTCACAATACACCTTCAGAAGATTAAGGAAGACTGTCTCAATTCCTAGACCCCTGCAAGTCAAAATAAAATATTGATACTCTAGGAAGAACAATGCTGCCTCACTGAAATCCAGTATATATTGTTCTATACTCCGAAATGCAACAATAGGGGATTATAAATGGATTCAACACTACCTACAACAGCTGGGCACACCAGATTAACAAATATATTTTATTAACGTGTCTAAACATTATACATTTAAAAAGATATTTCTGAATTTATTTCTTCCTAAGATTTGTAACATCTCACACACAAAGTAAATGCAAGGAAATCCCTATTACTTTCCCTTTAAAATGACAGATTTGAACATTAAACAGCAGAAAACCTTACATAGAGGAAATTAACAATGTGATTGATGGTCCTGTAAAAGAAAAATTGAATATTAAATAGAAAATCCACTGTAGAGATGATACATTTTAAAATGTTCTAACATAAATAAATCCAATGAAGACACCATAAAAATATGTTAAGTGTACAGTTCAATTAAAGTTTTTGTCAGTTTCATGCAGAAATACTATAGTCCAACCAAAACCTGAACATCACCTATCTCAAGACGGCTGTCTTCTTGATTGTTGTACCACGTAGTCCGGTAGTTTACCACCTATCTCAAGACGGCTGTTTTCTTGGTTGTTGTACCACGTAGTCCGGTAGTTTACCGACATTAAAGACGTCCTTGCTGCCTCCATCATCAGATGATGGAGGCAGCAAGAACCTCTGAAATGTTGGCAAGCTTCTACCAGATTACACAGTACAACAACCCAGAAGACAGCCATCTTCAGACTCACGTGCCATGAAAACCTCAAATCCTACATCACCTGTCTCACCCACATGTAAGACATAACATAGCAAGCTCTAGAATGGATAGAAGAAAGTAATCAGCTAAAAAAAGAACTTTGAGGTGGACGACACTGAGTGCTGATGCAAAGCACTATCAATTCCTGGTATGAATGTGTGTTAACATCCAGTATGTTAATTTATATGACAAATTTCAATCTTTATTTTTTGGTGCATTATTCCTATCACCCCAGTTAGTACCTGGCAGAACATGACTGTCAGCATGTATATGTATACATGTGTTCGTGTTTGTGTGGACAGGTGTATTTGCATGCATGTATTCAATGTGTTAAAGAAGACAATTCCAATTGTGATTAGGCAAGAATAACTGTCTGAAGCTAATCCTATGGCAGTAGAACCCAAGGTTCAACAAAGCCTCTTTGATTAGCAGTCTACCTAGACTGTGTTAATAATCCTTTACACACATCCAACTGCCAAGCACCTATCATATGAAAAGCTCCAAATTTCATCAACTATTTAAGTTTTTCATCTCAGTTTTAAGGTGTTCTATATTTCTGAGTATAACCAATAATCAAACACTAAAGCTGCATAATTACATAAGTTAAAATGTCAAAAGTATTTACAATTTATTTGTGGATTCACATAGACAAAATTAGCTGTTAACAATTCTTAACCCTTTTATACAAGTGGTACACATGTACCACCTGCTCTAACAATCTGTGATTCTGCATTTCGATCACAGGCTGAATTCACAGGTTTCATATGATTCTCACAGTAAACAGTGATTATTTCATCAAAATCATTAACAAATGGCATTTGTAATGCAGAGGTGCTGTCGACATTCGTCCTCTGGTTAATAGCATCATGTGGACCAACATAAACATCTTCACCCCCACGATAATTTCAAATCTCACAGACATCTCATTTTCTCTAAGATAAGACCTGGATTTTTAATAGCAGTCAGATAAGCTTTGGCCTTAAGGAGTTAATCAGTTATATGGTGTTATAATGTTCAAACATGTACCTTTAATTGTACAGTAATGCTGAGAATGTAAAGGCTGTAATTTGTATACTTCAATGAAAACAAAGCATTGCTAAAATATATGATCAATATTAATGTCTGTGATAATGGAAGTATCAAGAACATTGATAAGAAAATTACATTATTGATCTTCTGTGTCATAATGCCATATGGACTAGTAGGTAGATGCTGGTGTTTCAGAGGAGCATACTACCTCCATCTTCAGCTACAGTACACATGGCATTACAACCCAGAAGACAAATATCAGCATCTTCACTATCATCAAAACCTCAAGTCTCACAATGATATGGACAGGCTACAAACAGACACAAAATCATCGACAAGGTGGTATGAACAACTAACATGTAGCACACTGAATTATGTGAAGGTGATTATATAACCAAACGTTCAAAGAGACTTCCATAAACATTAACAAATTTATACTGTAATTCAGAAAGACTAAGATATTATTAAAAATACTTACTTAGCAGCAACTAGAAGCCCATCTTCATGAAGAATGTCCAGAAATACTTGATTCTCATATTCCAACATAATGACAGAATTATTTTAAACGTTTCTTTTATACAAATGCTAAATAATCAAACAGTTTATTAACAACATCAGATTTGCAAACAATATGTATCTTCTAAAGTTACCACACGTAACTATTAATATATAGTAAAGAATTCATGTAACTCAATTTGGCTGAAGTACCATTAATAGCAACACACTGAAAATATGTCCAGTTCTAATATATAAAGTAGTAGCATATATCTTTTCACAAGAACACCACGTCCACCAAAACGTCGAAGAAAGACCACATCAACGTCCAAATGAAAGACTCCTCATCAACCTGACAAAAAATAAATAAAAAGGTAAAATAAAATAAAATTCAAATATAAATATCCTCAACTGCTTACATCCACATTAGATAAAGATGTAGACATTAAAAAACCCATTATATTACTGTGCATAAATAGATTTCACAATGTTATAGTAACATATAACATGAGATTTCAGAATATTTCAGTTCAGGTAAAGTAGCAGAAATGACTGCTTGTATGTGCAACATACATAGGTTTAAGCCTCAATGTTAGTAAAAGTTTGTAATACCATTTCTGCTTCACAGTATTCACTATTCAGCCACAATTTCTGGCAGGTCAAACTGGTTACCAGTATCTAGGAACTTCTCTAGCTCACAAGAAACTGTGACAGATTTGCTTCAGGGCTCCCAGAAGGAAGCAACTGCTATCTCTGTAAGTCTTCCTTCATTTGACTGCTTTTATACCTATTACAAAGACTAACTTTATCTGACAGGACCCACAGAGTAGGTACCCTCTTACCTGGAGATGAAGCCAGTCTTCAAAATGTAAGGAATTTTAGACTTTTAATTTTTACACAAAGAACATATGATGTCCAAGCAAATATCATAAAAATTCCAGATATACTCATCAATACACATGAATATGTTCACACACTGATACACATAAGCATCTTATACACTGACTGCCATGAACTTGGTCATTTTTCAAATTCAACCGCACAAAATTCAATAGCTGACAAAAATGACCATGGAAAAGTTTGTAAAATCAATACGTCCATCTGTTTCAGCTTGTTGGAACAATTTCAACATTATTTTAGTCACACTTAAACCAGCTTCAGTGGGTCACTTATCAGACTACATTAATATTTCACAAGCGAGCAAAAAGATCATTGCTTCAATGCAGCAAAGAATTAGAAGTCACTGAGAATGTTGTCTCGAACAAAATACAACTAAAGGAAGTTCTGCAATCTGCAATAATAGTCCTTGTTCACAAAAGACTGTCAGTCCAATGAAACTTGTATGTAGTGAATCACACAATGGATTATAGCTCATTGCAAAGCCAATCGTCTGCAGAAGTAAAACTTCAAAAGTTTTGGCTTTCTATCAGTTTCAATAACATTACTCAACATCATCGAGAAAGTGTGAATCCTGATCAGATAAATGTTCCCAATTACTCACAAATCAAATACATGATGAATGTCAATAATTCAAATGCTGCTTTACAGCTTAACATATGTAGTATGTTAAATATTATAAAACAAAAGCAAATAATTATTGTTTAAATTAATTTGGGGCCTGTTTTAAAATAAACTATCAGCATTTCCAACTAATGGACCGACTTCACTAACTCAAAAAATAAATCAAAAAAGGAAAATGTTACATTTTACCAGGATTTAAACCCCTTTTCTCAACAAACAATCAAAATTTAGGCATTACTGGACTAATTTTACTCATTCAATATCCCTTTAAATTTTCACATTCATATATTCTTGATAATGGTAAAACAAAAGACAATCAGATTTCAATGGGATTCAAATCCTGTTTCACACAGAGTAACTGACTGATTTCCATAACTGAAGTGCTGTTTTAAAGTCTAAATTAACAAAATTTTGGTCCACTGTAAAATCATATAATTGTATGTACATCACTGGTAATCAAATCCAGACACATACAAATTTTATAGTTATAAAATTAAAACAGAGGGATTGCATTATGATGAGTAATGGCAGGTGCACAAATTATTTTCACACTGCATAATGATTTCAGAACCCATTGGTTTCACTTCTATACCAATACAACATTCAGAATGCACCCACGAGATATGTCTCCCGTCAATATGAACAGGAATTTTAATTTTTTATACTACAGATTAGGATGACTATGCATGCATTTCTTTCAAACTCCTTGCTGATTTTAATGAGCTTTTTCTGGTCCACAGAATGAATCTTTGTGTCCATATCATGCACTGATTTGATTTAACACATTTGATATTGAAGAAAATGCTAAAGAGTCAGGTAATTCATTCTTCATGCATATAAGAAAGTCACCTGACAGAATACAGCATGGTGCAGCTTTCAGCATTTCAGCATGATATTTGTATGTTTGCATGTGCTGACCACAGTAAAGACAGAGATGAAAAGAATTTTATTAGTATGTAGCACAACATAGTAAAGATAAACCATGTTATTATCTAAATGTTTTGACAATATCAATACAGAATACACTCTTGCATGCCAACACCAAAGTTTTAAATTAATTGAGAGACACGTGTAAAATAATAAACCGAAGAACTTTGTTAATACATCATTGTTAATGAAGAGTTTGCCTGCCCATGGACTGATGATTTAGGTAAAGAGAGAATACTCAAAAAATATGACTAGAGTCATAATAAAAAAACACATTTTAAATCTACTAGCCAATTCTGAAAGTCCACTCATTCAGAGTTTCGCAATATGCTCCATGCAAAAATGTTAATACTCAACGGTGGTCTCCATTAACTTGCCCAAAGCATGTGTATGGCTAATGATGCATTTTATCTGATCAGACCTGCTGTTACACTCTATGGAGTACCACTGAACCAAGAAAGTAACACAGAAGACCGTTTATTTTTTAATTTTACAAAGTGGTAGCCAGGCTAACACAGCTAACATGGTGGACACGAAGCCTCTGCCCCTGACAAGCTGCCACTTCTGGTCTCAATTACCACTGTGGTGGTAGATGTATATTTTATAAAATGTGTATCAGTGAAGTACATAAGCCCATTTTATGTACTCCTGAAAAAATTAAACACATCTATCCTTTTCAAAAAATATTACCTCCATATTTGGTCCAATGGATGATGAGTATTATGCTTCCTTTTTGAACTCTTGCCTTGCGTATAGCTTTTCTCTGGTTGCTAGAGATGAAAGAAAATGTTACCAATAATGATAGTTTTCATAAATTTCCCAAAGTCCTTGTTGAAGATATCAGCATTTGCATAGTGTCAACACTAATTATGGGTATTTTAGACAGAATCCATGTTTTGCTTTATTTCACTTCTCACATAAATGAAATAGACACCTGAGAAAACTGTATTTTATATGTTCCAGTTCTTTAGGAACACATCCACTTACAGAATTTGAATTAATGCTTTTTGTTAGTAAAATGACACAAGTAAAACGTCCAATTAAGAAGATCAGAAACCGTATTTATTGTACAGAAATGAAACATAAAGTTAGAGTTATATCATGTGATTGGCAAAACATGGTGATGTTAACTTCTGTCAGGAAGCTGCTATTCTGTCTGTCGTGACAGAAATGGCATTTTATGCAGGAAAGTTCATTGATGCCAAGTGTGATGGAAGGACATGTGTGCAAAAAACTCTACAAGAAACTTGAGAAGATGGCTAAGACAACTGACAAAATGCTCAATTATAAACAGATTTCAGTGTAGAATGGTGTATGAAGAGGCAGTGCATCTACAGAAACTACAGTGCACCAATTTATGAAACATATTTTGAAAAACTCACACACAGGGATCTACTATGCTGATGTACAAAAATATCACTGTCAACTGTATAATACCAGAAATATTAGTCACTCTTACTACATTATTTAATATAATACAATCTACGTCACGATTCAAAAGACATTTCAAATTTGTAACTTCAGAATACAGTGCTCCCAAACTATAAAGCGCCAAGGTAAGTAACAGGGTGTTCAGTGGTATAATGGTGATAACAATTTACATTCATATGATGGAATTCTCATAACTATGAAACAGCAAATATTTAACATAAAAGAAAAACATTATAAGGTAGTTGATGGTTGGTTACTCAAGGTGCTGTTTCAAGTGAAGAGATTGTATAATGTCAAATAAGATGGGAAGACAATCACTCTGGTAAATTGAAAATAAATTAAGATGGTAGTGGTCATTGTCTACTTTATAACACCTAAATATTCACATAGAGAGACTAAGTAAAACGCCAGAAGTGTCAGTCAAAATAGCACATGAACCTGATGAGATTCAAAGTGGGTATTTCCAGTATAAAAGTCCAAAGCAACTTCACTTGTTCAATTAGGGTAGTTTGGATCTTTACTCCAATGGCAACCGTTATCTCAAATGTGCAAACATTGTTTATTCATGTTAACACACAGAAAATATGTTAAAAAATATGAGGTATAATTTAAAGCACTGAGACAAATGAATTCATATCTCAGATCACACTGTGCAAAAACATGGCTGCAATAAACTTGTCTTGATACTGCTTTGGTTTTTTGCATATCGCATTTAGAGGGATAAAACATTTATCATGACAGATGAACATTCTAAATACCCTTCAATCATGAAAAACCAACTGGTCGGTCAGTTTAACATAAAATAAGTGTTCCATAAGTGAGACAGCAGCCCTATTCACCAGATATGGATCCCTGTGATCAGGACTCACTCATACCTAAATTACACCAAAGGAAACAAAAAATTATGCTGTCTCCTCTGACAACCTCCCAATTAAACACAGTTCAACAATCTGAAAATGTTATCACAATCAATAATATGTTAACATAAAACTCTGTAAAATAGCCCAATAACAATGTTGTATGATCTGAAGCTTTCACAGCAACCAAGTATAATTAATTCTTCTCGGGCTACCAGCCATGTCAGGTGGTTTAATGTTTTCTCCATTGAACCACCTGACATGGCTGGTAGCTTAAGGAGAATTCATTAAACCCTGTAACAAATTTTATAAAAATCTATTTTGTGGTCCTTGAGTTGTTACGTCAGGACAGGCAGATGGACAGAAAGAAAGAGTGAAGTTAATACACACATTTTTGTAATATCTGGTTTTAAATTCATCTATAAATTACAAATACACCTGAACAGCATGAAAGTAATACAACCTTAAAACGATTAAATCAAGTCTTCAAAGAATTTTCAGTAACATGTGGTGTTTTCTGAACACATCTACAACTTTTTTCTCTATATTTACTGATTTAAGATTTTTCTAACCAGTGTATCTCTAGTCTGAAGCTTTCCCAGAGAAGCATTAAATTATACGCCAAAGGGAGGGAGAGATCTGGGAAGACCTAGGAAGAGATGGTGCCAGAACAGGCAGCCACCTAAACCTTGACAGAGGATGATGATGATTTATTGAATTTTTCAAATAAGAAATGAAACACAAAGATTCATTTACAAGTAGACATATTTTCAAAGTGATCAGTTTTTAAATATATAGTATGACACAAATTATTTTAGAATCGTTATTTTCCCTTCTATGAGGCAGCTGTACTTAATTTCTTGATTTTACACAACCATCACCTACTCTCAGCTTTACATGACCTAGGCTACAATACTGCAAACATACAAGACATAAAATAGCATTTACTGATGCTGCCAACAACATGCCACATGGATACCCCTCAAGAGCAGTGATCTGCCACATTGATGACTTAAGAGAAGTGTTGAAGGAATTGGAAATAACTGATACATGGACACTTTCTTCTAACCTCTGGACTTATCTGATGATTTTACATGCCAGGGAAATAAGCAGCTTGGACTAAACTGGAAAGGGATATCACAAGGGAAGCGCAGTGAAAAGCAACATTTTCTCATTAAACATCAAGTAAACTTATTAGATAACCATTTTTGCATTTACACATGTGCAATTGTGCAAAGATGCACACAGCAACTGAAGGAAGAAATACATACAGAAATACATATAAAAATAGGGACTAAAAATTGCTTCACTTTTATCAGATTGTTCTGTCATCTAAATGGCAAGAATGGATAAAAACACATTTTCTGTGCTAAGCAAAATATACTAAGGCAGGCCTATACAAATGACAAGTGCCAGGTTACCATAGCACCTACATTTTTTTCACATTTTGTATTATTCCAGCTTGTGGTTTCAGAGGTGGCTCCTAAATTTATAGGAAACATGTGCAGGCCTGCACTAAGATCTTACTATCTGAATGCAATTTATAGACTAATCAGCATCACAAATTTTTATGTTAAGGAAAGTAAAAAACAAAAATGTAATTCAAACTATTGTGAATATATGAAGCAATACTCACATTTAATGAAGCGGATTTCTCCTTGGCACTGTATAGCTCACTTGTTTGCCATCCCTTCTCTTTGCCAGCATCTTCTTCCTGCTGTTTATTCTGTTTCAGTTCTGTAGTGTACGGATCATAGTTGTCTGCTTCATCATCACCTTCTCTGTAGAAAACTTCCAGCAAGTATAAGCTGACCTCATGTGAAATGTGACCATATAGACCAATTCCTATTGGCCGCGAGAAACTGTAGCAGTAGCAACAATGTTTAAATTAAAGTTGTATTTATGTATTTAACACAGTAGGACCCTCTCACATAACCCCTAATTTATGTCACATGGGTCCCTTCTCATGTATCAGGTCATCAACATTTACACAGCTTGAATACATTAAATATACTCCATTCTTACCATCACTCATTCCTGTTGATATCATCTCTCATTTATCATATGCTTCTCCCATGTTCCTCCCAATTTTAACTAATAACGTCCTGTATCACAGACAAGAAAACTGTTCACAATGAATAATTTTCTTAATGATAAATTCGTAACAGTAATTTAACCATTTCTTACATATTAAATTCATCTTCCAACCCCAATGTAAAGTGCATGTTTAGCATGTTCCACAATCCCTTTATAGATCTCCCTCTGCAACCCTTCAGTTTGCATCCATCATGCCACACTTCTCCTTGAATTCCTATCACAACATTTAATGTATTCTTACCTACCCCAGATATATTTCAACCTGGGTAAAAAAGGTTAGGGAAGCCATCTCTGATATACCGCTGAACATGTTTTGTCTCCCATTAATATTAAATCTGGTTATTATTATGCCATATACTGTATTGGTATTTTCCAACTGACCATTCCCTACATATGCACAATTTACTTTACACACCGAAGTAATATGCACTCTTTCAAAACCATTATAAAACTCATGCATCTTAGGTCCAAATATTTTCTTGAGCATTCAAGTCATGTGTGTGTGTGTGTGTGTGTGAGAGAGAGAGGGGGGGAGGAAATTGGTGGGGGGAGAAGTGAGAGACACTTTGATTTCAGGGGTGGAAAAAGAGCATCTTATAGTTAGAAGGTCCCCAGGCAATGCCTGCTCGTCCTTCTGTTAAAGATAAAGTAAGAGTGAAGACGTTAGTGCGATAGCTGGCAGAAAAGCCGGAATTTTGAATTTTGTATTAGAGGAAGCTGAGGCTATTAAGTCATGAAACTCACCTCCGTGGAATATGTATAACATCAAGGCCACAAGTTGAAGACTGAAGACAATATGTCTCCGGTTCAAATGTTGGTTTGCTCACTGTCTGCGACACATATAAGTCAGCATCACCCAGCCTACCAACATGACAGAAGAAAAAACATAACTGTAACAAATGTATTTGTTGCCACATTTTTCTCTTTCATTCTAAAGACCTTTGAACATTATGTAAAAAAATAAAATGAAAGCATGAAAGTGGTGTAACTTATTACATAATGCAGACAAGTTTAGGAGAATATTTCTACAGAACATATTCAGTAACTAACCATTTTATTACTGTTTATATTATTTTTTTTAGGTTTTCCTAATTTGGTATCAAGTGATGCTTACAAGCAACAGAACTGTTACTGGACTGTTACATTATGATGACCCTTGATTGGCACAAGAGGGAAGAAATGAGAAGGAAGAAGAAAATGGGGGTACGGAATAAAACAATGGCCTCTGATATCACTATAAAGAGAAATGGTAATGGAATATACCTACAGATATAATGATATGATGGAAAATTTTAACCTTTTATTCCCACAAGACACAGCACCAATACAGTATTACACAGGATTTATATCACTGTTCCAATTGACTTTTGAATACAAATACATCCTTTTTGTTTAAAATATATTCACTAAAGCTACAAAACATATAAGCATGACATTAAGATCTATGTTTTTATGCCTGCTAGTAACACCTCACTAAAATCTCAAAACCTAGTAAGCCTCACTAGCAGCTATCAGCAAACAGACCCATATAGAGGCATACATCGTTTTATGTGCTTTGCTTTATTGCGCTTCGCAGATATTGCGTTTTTTTACAAATTGAATGTTTGTGGCAACCCTGCATCGAGCAAGTCTATCAGCGCCATTTTTCCAACAGCATGTGCTCACTTCGTGTCTGTTTGTCACATTTTGGTAATTCTAGCAATGTTCTCGCATTGCTTTTGAGACATGATGCTATTGCACACTTAACAGACTACAGTCTAGTGTAAACATAACTTTTATATGCACTGAGAAACCAAAAAAATTGTGTGACTCGCCTTATTACAGTGGTCTGGAACCGAACCCACAATATCTTCAAGGTACGCCTGTACTTTCTAAATGGTACCCATTTGTAAGCAGATTCAACCAGGTTTATGTTGCATCAGAACCACAAAGGCCATTACAGAGTAACAGATCAGTAACTGCAGTTTTACTATATGAAAGACTGCTTAATTTCTACACAATTACATTGTCATAGAAATTGAATCAACCCACTTGGAATAGAGGTAGAGTGTGATGGGGCCTTCATACATCAAACTGTAGTAAGTATAGTTGCCACGCCCAACCTCCCCAGCCACAGAGTGCAGCAACTGGTCACCAGATGTCACCACCAGATGGATGATGATGAGGAAGCAACATGAAAAAAATACTGTTTCCATCCTAGTCTCAAAACATGCACTTCAACAGACTTCACTGCCATCCCTGCAACATCAACCAAAAAAAATTGATTATTGTCTTAAAGCAAAGCAATAATCATAATACAGCAGGTGAGTATGAAAATGACTCTCTTTTGCCATGTTCTGTTGTGGAGTTTTGTAGTTTACTAATGTTTTAGACAGCCCTGATAACAGAGACAGCAAGCACCTCTAAAATATCAGTAAACATCTACCAGACTAAATGCTGCAACATACCATAAAAGTCATTTTCACATGAAACCTATATAATATAAAGGCAGCTACATTAATATCTTACATCTCACAAAGAAAACATTTATGTTACCTGCCATCCAATTCTAGTACTGATCAACAGCAGTTACAATAAAGTAATGTTATTAACAAAACACTAATAACAAAACTGTCATTAAAAATATGAATCAGCATGCATTATACCAAAATTGGAGAGCCTTGTAAGAAGAAATTTGAATCTCAGTGCATAAAAGTGCCTAACTTCACTGTTCTAGTTAATGGACTGTGACCAAAATAAGCAACGCCAGTTTCTGTATATGGATGGGAAGTGCTGTTCTGTACAAACGTCTGTGTTCCACACTGTAGACTAACAGAATGACACTCTTAACAAAAATGTTCACAAAACATAACTTTCAAAACTGTAGTCTGGTGAGGAAATTGAATAAGTCTTATGATTTACTTCTATGCCAAAGTGAAATTGCATACAAAGACCCAGATGTCAATGTCTGTATAACAGGAGCTTCTTTGCTCGCAACAAACCCGCATGTTGTAAGCAATTTCCATGTTCTAGTTATATTTCACAATGTCATATATAGGTAACAGGCCGGCGATTATTTCTACACTTCTTCAAAGTAGACAAACGTTAAATTACGTTATTCCATTCGCCCAAATGCAGCCAAATCTTTGTCACAAATACGAAACTCTTAAAAGCAAACCGTCACAACATACAAGCATACGAATAACATGTAATATTGAGGTTATGTGAACCAACGAAACGATACATCGCTACATACCTCAGTTATCCATTATCAAAATAACTTCTTTCCGAATAACAAATCAGATCCTCTACCTATAACACTAGTTCTAGTCTTTGTAGTTTATTCCAATACCTTTGCACAGCCATACATTTACTCAGCCGTCTGTATTAAAACTGCAAATAAACCATGAACACCATTCACATATTACCCATGTTTAAACACACATTCATCGGTTGCCTCACACAGATGAAGAACCCTTCAAACGCCTGTGACGTCATATAAGACATACATTCATTTATGAACACGTCTTCTGCATGACTTGTAGGTAGATATACCAATGTTCCGTAGGAACATACTGCCTTCATCTTCAGGGCAGAGATGCGGGCAGTATGTTACTCCAAAATGCTTGTTTCTACTTACAAATCCACATGGTATATCAACCCAGAAGACTAACATCGACATCTTCAGTCTTTTATGCAGTAAAAGGAAAACACCAGCACGGTGTAGTCATCAGTAGCTGGTCAATACGACTAGTCTTTTATATCTTATCAACAACATACCCAGCAGTATTTCTTCAACTGTGATCCTTGACACAGCAATTCCTTGAACACGTATCTTAAAAATGTTTGTTTTTTGCCACAGTTCTTTGACCTGCCTGAACAGGGAGCACAAAACATACTTTTCTTGTTCTCATAGGTTTGGAAGGTGTTCAACATGAGCTTTGTAGCCTGTACTCCTCAACTGATGTTAGGATGAATAAATCGAGGAGAATGAGGTGGGTGAGACATGTGGCAGGCAAGGGGAAAGGGAGAGGTACAAGATATAGGTTGGGTGGCCCGAAGAAAGGAGACCGCTGAGAAAACCAAGGTGTCTGTAAGAGTATAACGTTAAGATGGACCTTAGGGAGATAGAAATCGATGGAGCGAACTGGCTGCATCTAGCTCAGGATATGGTCCCAGCATCGGGCTTTTGTGAATACGGTAATGAACCTTCAGGTTCCAAAAAGAAAGTGGGCTATACTTTGACAAACCTAGTATACAATCGAATTTTCAAACAATTTCTTGCACCATAGTGTGAGTGAGTGAATCAATGTACTTCTAAAGTTGAATCAGCTACGTTTGTTTAATGATACTAATCCAATTTCAAAGATTATATGACGCAGAATGACATCATTAAGTCATTTTGACATGGCTACTGATGCATACATTCATTTCTGACATGTACACTGAATGGAAAGACGTAGGTATATTTTCTTCTGAAAAAAACTGATTAGAGTATAAATAGTCTGGCCTGTTGGGAAGTGTTATATTTTCGCTGTATGGCAATAATGAGTAATATAAGTCAAGGATGACTTTGGTGACCTAAATGCTCCCCTACATTTAACTTAGGTATTTTATATCTCATAGAAAACTACAATTTCATAAACTTAAAATGAGTAATCTTAAAACTTTACATACCGTGTAGTGTATTAGAATATAAAAATAAGCAAGCAAACAAACAAACTGTTACCACTATAAATGGTACTAGCGCCAAGCGCATTTCGACCTCAAGAGGTCATCATCAGTGGCAAAAGGGAATTGATTCATGTAATATGATCAAAATAAATAAGGTTTTAAAACAAATCCTGAAGGTGAGTGATTTGTTTTAAAGCCTTATTTATTTTGATCATATTATATGAATTAATTCCCCTTTTGCCACTGATGATGACCTCTTGAGGTCGAAACGCGCTTGGCACTAGTGCCATTTATAGTGTTGACAGTTTATTTGTTTGCTTATTTTTATATTCAAATGAGTACTCTCGGTCAAGAATAATTTTGATTTGACATTGACATAATTCTCGTACATGGAGGTGCTGCGGGAACAATGTGATTGGCGGCGCCTAGATATGACCCTCGTTTCATCTCATTCTGTACCATTAAACCTCTGCTATTGATATGACATCATAAAATAATTCATGAACTCTGCACATTCCTTTGCCTAAACTAACATAGACCACACAAGTTATCTGTACTGAAATGTTTGCTCGTGTTATTGAATTTCCAGCATCCGATAGCTATAATGTCTGCCGTCTGTGCAGAAGGCCATCAAGTATGCAGTGGCAGAAATAGAAAAGGAAACCTGTCGTCATGTACTTACGTGTATTTTTTGGTGTTAAGTTGTAATTAACAGTTAGGTTTATATGTGGAAAATATTGTTTTGGTGAAAACTATGCTTTGGTTAAATTTGCATGTTGCAGTTTGGATGGATGCAACAATTACAAACGTGAAAGTGACCGGCTGAATTGAGATTTTTATTGTGTATTAAGATTAGTCGCGTAAAATAGATTTTAGAAAAGAATACTTTTATTTAGTACCAGATTAATCTGTTTTCAACACTCCATAACGATGACTGCAATAATAAATGTTGATAAAGTCTGCCGACTTTGCATGGAAGAAGCTAAAGTACTTTTACCAATTTTCAAAGAAGATTTTAGTTACGAAAGTGTTTTATTGCCGCACAGGATCATGGCTTTTGCAGCCATCCAGGTAAATGTAATGTCACATTGTGAGCTTCGTTGTTACAATTTTTTTAATTTATTTGTATGTAAAGTACTTCTTTGGCCGTCATATTTGGAAGCGATGTGTCATTGTTAAAGTAGCATCAATATATTCTGCCTCAGAGATGTTAGTAAATAATTCAAATTTACATTATATTGTTTAATTTATACCAGCACACATGATAATTTTTTCTTTTTAAATAACGTGTCCATGTTACACATGCATAGACTATGATGATTTTGTTATTCCTTCTCACCAACTAGTGATATGTTGTGTTCTATTCTTTGTTGTCCAGATGTGTCCAGGTGATGGCTTGCCAAACAATATCTGTCCAAAATGTGTAGAACAGGCCAACACAGCTTATGAATTCAAAGAGAAATGTGAAGCTTCTGATTCCAAACTGAGAGCTCATCTATGCAAAATACAGGACTTAGAGGTAATGTGTTGAAGTACTGACTCTATTAATGACAAATAAAAGTTAATTCTGGCTACAGTGGAGTCCTGATTATCTGATCTAAACAGGAGTGAAGAATGATCAAAAATTTCAGATAATAAGGAAGACTACAGAAAATGGTAAATATCAATAAAATTACAAAGAAAATACAATGCAGAATGAAATGAAAAAATCTCACAACCAAAAGAGGTATTTGAACTTTTTTTTCCAAGGCCATGCCAGTGCCTGCGTAGTAGTAGTACATCTGTAGCAACTCAGTACATAAAATGTAAGTGTATATTGAGTGAGTGTGATTTATTCAGCTTCATGCTGTGCTGACTGTTGGTAAAATGGAGCATTCAGACACACTGGATAATACAGTATGTCAGATAAGTGGGACTCTAGGATATTTTTAAATATGCCCTGTATTTGAGGCTCCTGTACATTTTGTTATTATTGTATATTTAACCCTTTGCGGTCTCTGTCGGACTGAGTCCGACATTTAAATATCTGAGTTCCGGTCCAATGTCGGACTGAGTCTGCCATGTATTTTACGCATATTTTACATTATTTGGAGTCAAACTGAGGCTGGCAAACTGTGTCAGCATATTATTCAAGCCTTTTTCTTTGCACTAGTTCTATTCTAGTTTTCCTGATAAGACTTTGTGTACCTTATAATAGTGAAAGGAGGCAGGAGAGAAAAGTCATCTTATTCTGACACGTGTCTAAAGGAAGCCAGAATTCCACACCAATTAATTGTTTTGCCATACATCATGTAGTGAAGTAATACCATTGGGTGTGTTGCTGTCATATTTACTTACAATATAAGTATTTTATACCTGATAAAGTTATAAAACAATTATCCCATCGTCCCAGTAGGAAATTATATTTTTTTAATGATTTTTGGCACATAGAGCATTCTACCACTGACATGTGCATATTCTTTCGTCTTCTTACCAAGTATGAGCCGGGATAGCTCAGTCAGTATAGTGACTAGCTGGTCAAGAAAGAGAGGAGCTATACCTCCACTCCCCCCAAGCGCCTGTATGGCACGTAGTGGGACAAACTTTACTTAACTTTACTTACTTCTTACCAAGCATTCTTTATGTGTAGTGACTTCATCATTTACACTTCGCATTCTGTTTCACTTTCCTGGTGTTGAATTGGTCTTGAACTTTTGGACGCAATCAGCGCGATAGGAAGCACAGCTCTGAGAATATTAAATCCAATGCTTATGCATCGTATATCTGCATGCAATAAGAGATGTTTAGACGTCGCCAAAGTCATATCTACTGACCTGGACTTGCTTTCTTCTCTACCGAGCGACAGGAAGTAGAAAGGCACCACTTATTACGCATCTCACAGTGGTACAGTCCGTGAAAAATATTTCACACGGTTAGTATTCAAATAAAAGGAACTGTGATCCTCTGAGAACATATTTTCACCATATTTAGTAAAGTTTCTTCCATTTTATGCAAGTTAAAAAGAAAATCAAAACAGTTCATAATGGTAGTTGAATTTATACAGCTTAGTGGTATTTAAATAGACCTGTAGAGAGCTGTAGTGGTATTTAAGAGGGACCGCAAAGGGTTAAACCATCCTCAGTTTTATGTCTGGACTCAGCTTATGCAAGCAAACTACATACAAGGAAACATTTGTGGCTAATCACAATTTCAGACATATTTCAAGACATTGTAATTCATAGTCAGTCACCTATCACTGGGTGATGAGCTGTAGTGTTCTGCTTGTAATACTCAAAAGAGAGTGGAGAACCTGTTATCTATGATTGTAGCAGTTTATTAGGACTGAAGATGCATAACATTAATCTTTATTGTATGGGAATAACAGAACTAAACCCCTGTACTATAGGGCTGCCCATCAGAATTCAGCTTCAGAGTTAACAGTTAAGCAGTATGCTGTTGTGACATGTGGCCAACTGGACTGCATACAAGCTGTGTGACATGACCAGTAAATTTTAACAGAACGTAACTGTCTTCTGGGATGTAGTACTGTGTGGTCTGGTAAAAAGTGACTGATATTTTAGAGGTGCTTACTGCCTCTAAAATGTCTATCAATATTTGCTAGACTACACAGTGAAACATCCCAGAAGGCAGTCATCTTCATACTTCTCACTGTGATAATCTGAAATTGTAGGTTAAGGGCTTTATTCCTAATTTCAATGTAAGTTGGTACATTGGGTATTGGTTCACATAACCTGGCGTTTGTCTCATCACTTCTGGAACAAGTTATGTTCATATTTTTCAGCAGTCCAAAACAGCCAAACTTTAGTTATTAGATTCTGTATCTTTTATTAGAAATTCACTACAGGCATAACAGGGTCATTGATGTTGTTCTTATGTGCCATTGCTACCATTCAGTAGCAGTACAAAGCCAAATTTGAGCTATTTTGTGAATAATAAATATCCTTTATCTTGATAAAATATGAAACTATTTGAACCTAAACTTGTAAGCAAAGATATGATCAAAGAGAGGGCATTTGTTGTGGAAATATTTAACATAAACAGTTTAGAAATATCTTCTGCTTGTAAATAAACTCACAGGTTTCTTTCAGTGTGTCACTGTGAAGTCTGAGCCACAGTGGGATTGCTATGATCAGTGTGACACCTCTAGCAACACCGCCTCCATTGCAGAACAGTATGTTGAGGAAGCTGACAGTCATGACTTATGGGATCAGAATTGTGCATATTTTGAACCTGTAGTGCAGTGCACTGTGAAGGAGGAACTTGTGGATAATGTTGATATTGGAATGACAAATGACACTAATCCTACTCCACAGTTCAAAATAGAATCAACAGACATAAAGTCAGAAGAAAATGTAATTTCAAACTCAAGCTGTGGGATAACAGAGAGCACAACTAACAGACAAAATCAAACTACTGAAGGTGACAAAAATGAAATTCAGTTTCGTCATAAGTGTGAGGTATGCCCAAAGGCATTTAAGAGAAAATTTCAACTGACAGAACACATGTGTATACATACAGGTAAACTGCCATATCAGTGCACACATTGTTCAAAATCATTTGCTCGAAAATTTACTCTTAGAGATCATGTGAACCTACATTTGGGGATCAAACCCTATTCCTGTACTCTGTGTGAGAAGGCTTTTGCCAGAAAGATTTCTTTAAATGTGCATATTAAAACTCACACAGCAACGAAGGTTTTTAAGTGTGAAATATGTCAGAAGTCATTCACTAAAAAGGTTCATGTAGCAGATCATTTGCGAGTTCATTCTGGTGACCAACCATATATATGCACCATTTGTGGGAAAGCCTTTACTCATAAATACTCCTTGACCGTTCACATGAGACACCACCGTGGTGAAAAGCCATATGCATGTCACTGTGGGAAAGCATTTTCACAGCAAAGTCATCTTACTGTGCATCAGCGGACACATACTGGTGAAAGACCGTACCAATGTTACATCTGTAACAAAGCTTTTAATCATAATGGTCATTTGAAAGAACATCTGAAAGTACACAAAGTATTACAATAATTTATCAGTTTTATAACGACTATGGAGAAAGGAGGAAAACATATTAGACAATATGAAATAAATATGTGAAGGAAAAATTTGTGTACTATCCCTGCCTTTCAATAGACTTATTTTAACTACAGCATGTTCTTGTGTGTGTCAGCTTGAGCAGAAGAGTTTGACACAGTTCCTGTCCAGTTTGGCTAACCCTTATTACATAAGTTTGCTTAATGGCTACTATGTCTAGAAAACTCACCATGCTTGCAAAATAAGAACAGACCTGCTGTCAAGTTATAAGTGGCATATTGTTTCCCTTTGTTTTGTAAATTGAACTCTTAGACTTGAGATACTTCTCACTATTATTGGGAGCTTTCACTAGAAATCTTACATAAATAATATGACGTGCGAAATGTGACGTCTGAGCTTTCAAGAGTGGTGAGGATAATGATGTTCTGGGTTTTGGTGTCTGGTGAACTTGTTGTAGATGCCAACAGTTCAGAGAAACATTGGTGTCTACCAAGTCCATGTGACACCAGAACATCTTCAAATGCTATTATAATATGTATACATAGAATGTAGTATTAAATTATCTTGCAAGGTGATATTGAAATGTAAAGTAAGATGTGGATATAAACTGTGTCGTAACGGTATGTAGGAATTTTGGAGGTAATGCAGTATATAGTTTAGCCCTATGTTATAGATACATATGGCTGATGAGAGTCATGGTTAAACTTTCTTTCCACTTCTCCCCTAGGAGAAGTACCCCCTTTACTTGGTTGATAAACCAAGCTGATTGCTAGGGTTCTAACATGTCTGGCTTCTTTGGTAGGTATCTGGTTTGACACAGAAACAAGGAACAATATTTGTGCTTGTTCTCGGAGTACAATCTCTTAGATATTCAGGAATGCAGAATACACTTCATTCTATGTAATATTACTGTTTTAATGAAAAGACAAGTATACAAAACAATAATTTTGCCTGTTGTTTTGTATGGGTGCGAAACATGGTCTCTCACTCAGAGGGAGGAACACAGATTGCAGGTGTTTGAGAATATGGTGTTGAGGAGGATATTTGGGCGGAAGAGACCGCTGAGGAGACCTAGACGTAGATGGGAGGATAATGTCAGGCGGGATCTGTGGGAGATATGGGTTGAAGGAGACTGGATTTTGTTGGCCCAGGACAGAGTCCGGTGGAGAGCTTTGGTTAATTCGGTGATGAACCTTCGGTTTTGGTAAGCCATCTAGTTAGTTAATTTTAATGAAAAGAACAGAAGAGGTAAGAGTGTGCAAGCACCCTGTAAATTTTCTTTCACATGTCTAATCACACCCTTAAATATTACCAGGGCCAAAGACCTGTTAGACTTATGACAGTACTACACCTGTCAAATCATACAAACACTATGTGTAATGGTAATGGTAATGTTTTAGGTATCATAGGTATTAAAATAATGTGGTTTATTAATGTGCATGGGCATAGCTACAAAATGTCATTGTATTCCTATAGAAATTAGTTTCCATTTGGCAACAGTAATCAACACACAGTTGAACTTTGTATAAACAGAAACAATTGTTAGCTGTAGTACACATTATTCTGAAGTAATTATATTTTATGGAAAAATACTTGGAACAGAATGGAACAAGTAACTGTTGTTTTGCAAGTTAGAACTCAAAGAAACTGTAGTGGCCAACACATGCTTATCTCATTTGACATTTCTTTTGTTGGTGGCTGTGTAGTAATAATCACATTAATTAGAATTGGAGTTAGAATTGTGGAAAGAGACGTGACTGATAAGTTGCTTATTATTGTATTTGTAATTGATGGGTCTTGTGTGTTCACATTAATTTTAGAAACCAGTGGATGATGTTACTGCTTCTAATGGTGTAAAAATACAAAAAGGTTGTCAGTGGAACCACGGTTCCGGAGAATTTGACGTAAATACGTCTATACGGAAAGGAAGTTTATATATTGGCTTTATTCTAAATATTTCCTTTATACACGCTTTACAATTGGTCTGTGGTAGCTGAATGTAATGTAAAGTGATGTAATTTAATGTAATGTAAGGTAAGGTAATTTAATGTAATATAATGTAATGAAATGTTTTATAGGTAACAATAATGCCAAGTAAACAGATGACATTTCCTAGGTAACAATAATGCCGAGTAAACAATTGACGTTTACTTTTAACAATAATGCCCAGTAAACAATTGACGTTTCCAAGGTAACATAACAATGCAGTTACACTTTTTCGTTTCACTTTTTGCTGAATGACACTGACCCAAAAATATATACGTATTTACGTCAATAAATTATGATGCCAGCCTGGACTTTCCTTCAAAGTTTAGATTAGTGACAGACTTCAGCAACCAATTCTAAAACAATGAACACATTGTTTAGTTAGGTGATAAGTTTTCAAGATGAATGCTAAATAGTCATTCATAGCATGATACAGTACTTATTGTAACACTGTTTCCTGTACGGAATATTTTAAAATTATAGCAAGAAGAGTCAATAAAAACTCACAAAGATAATTTAAATTTGACTCAAAACTGAAATGCCTAAACTGTTAATTTAGAAAAACAGTAATATGTTTCTGAAGGTAATTTGACAAATGAAGGAGGAAGAGTTATTTAACCTTATCAAGAGATGTCATGCTATATAATATGAGCTGCTGACTGTCATTAAGTAAAATGTACACGGACAAATAAAGAAATAACGAATGCTAATTTGTTATTCTTTTCCTCGTGGAATTTGAATCTTGACCTTTGACACCTTCATGTTGACCACCCTTGGCAAATTTGCCAATATTTTTGCATCCAGCAGGTTCCAAAAAACATGTTATCCCTCAAATATACACTACCTGGACATTATTTCATTGTAGCTAAAGCCAGTCCACATACAGCAATATGATGCATTTACTCAGTAACTACTGAGGGAATAAATAAGGAAGTGTTTCAGGTAATAAAGTAAGGTAACAAATTTTATAGTTTTACAAAAGGTCCATAATCTCCGTAAGTCTTCACTTCTTGCAATTCATTACCATATACCTATGCCTCCATTTACAAGAACTTTTGCTACTACAAACTCAAAAACAAAACTGTTGGTCAGGAAATTAAGCAAAATCAATTTAAAGTGTTGCTGAGTTTGTTAAATGTGATGACTTTCAAGAGCTGCTCTAAATTTATGTTGAACAAGCATATAGTGATATCACTGAAAATCATTCAATAAATAAATTCTTATGCAGTGTAATTTTTCTCATTCTGAATGATTAGCTGTGCTCTTGCTCATAATTTCTTTCCCACGACACTAGGAAGGAGGATGTGGAATACTCTGCAGGCTTAGACATCTCACATCTGTAACTGGCAGTTCAGCAGACACCATGGACGTATTCTTCGGGAGTTTGTATATTATGCTCATCTTGCAATAGCTATAACATCAAGCCAAAAATTGATAATTTGCCATAAAATATTCATTTCCAAAGGCATATTCTGGTACAGAAATATTTCATAATAGATGTTAAATTTCCACAAGCTCCAGATTTGTATGAAATATAGACAACAGGTGACCTGGAGATTACATTATTTTTCTACACATCAACTTTTGGCTTCATAGCGATGTTACTGACCAGTGGGAGATACTAATTATATAGAAAATAGTTCAAGTGTACAAGTCTGTAAGATTTTTTTAACAAGAAAATGTTTCATTTTTATGTAACATCTCCAGTACTTTCTAACACACACTATTCAGAAGAATACTCAATAATTAATTATAATAATTATTATAATAAAAACAGAAATCCCACCTCAACTGTTTTATTTCTTAATACCTGTAATAAGAGTGTTTTAATGTAATTATCTCTATGCTCACCTTAACAATGAAGGTGATATTTAGCTTTCCACCTATAATGGGGGAAAAATGGCAGTGTACTTGCTAAATAAACAAAGATTTTTTTTTTTAGTTTTCTTTCTTCACTCACACACAGCCCCAATCATGCTTTTAAGCATGTTATGCTATTGTTTTGTTTGATGTTGCAGATATGTTGCTGCCAGTGCCATCTGAATTACAATTAGGAGACAATCCTGTATATCCAGATGGCAGTAGCCGTCCCTTTCATCCTTATGATATTTTACTGTTTTCACATTACATGGAATACAAAATACATACAACAGCACCATTCTGCAATAGAGAAACAAACTTAATTCATCTCTACTAAATGACTGAAAACTATACATTTCTTTGTTCATTTTTAAAATCCATTAAACATACTTCCAGAAAGTAAAGACAATAGTTTCTTTTTCCTTTTCTTTGTTTTAACATTTAATGCCATGCAACACTTTCAACCATTTTGTTCTTAAGTTTTCAGTTTCTAGAATTAATACCTCATTTGCTCTCTTTCTTCATTTCCATGTTAACTGTCAACTTCTGTTTACATCATAATTTACTTCCATAATGATCATAGGACAGCTAGCTCACAAATACATTTTGAATTAAAAGTCTATACAAATCTGTCACAAATTGTGCCTCCACAGTCCCTCCATTCACAGCATTACACCCAGGAAATTCTGTACTACTTGAATAGACATGGATTTTATTTTAAAATCCATCAATTTTGTACTTAAGACATTCCTAGACATTGTTGTGCAAAATTAAGTATTCAACTTCTAGTTGATAATGGTTCCCACGTGATAAAACATTTAAAATTTGTATTCTGAATCATTTGATTTGCCCAAAGAATTAATATATTGCACAATGAATGTTTCTACAGGCAAGGATTCATTTCAGAAGCAGTTATTGATTTACTAAGCAAAGCTTTATTCCATTTTAGTAATCAGTATCAAAAATTTATTCCACAAGAAACAGAAATCAAATCTGAATTTGTGGCAATTCAGTAATGTAAAGATCATCTTTGTACACTCTGCCATGGGAACCTCAAATCCTACAATTCTGTAATGTGTTCAAAATTTGCTGTTCTAATACACTTGAAATTTTTGTCATCCATATACATACAAAAGTATTTGCCACCTATCTGTTCCCTGAGATGTGAATTAGTTAATTTTCATTTTTCTAGCAAAAGGACTGTGGAGGTAAACACAGCTACACAAAATATGTTATCATGGTGCAAGTCTACTGAGAATATCTTTGCTC